CAGCGTGGTGCAGCGCCGTCTTCTCTGACTGGTCAGAGACACATCAACAGGTTACACACAGGAGTCAAGGCCCACACACACACACACACACACACAGAGAGAGAGAGAGAGAGAGAGAGAGAGAGAGATAACTGACTCATGCCCATTTTTACTTAATGCATCACTGAACGTAACATAAAAAWTATGTACTCTGTACTCAGCAGCACCTTGTCGACTCTGTCCAGTCTGATCTCTTCCAGGTCCTCCATGATGAACTCCAGCACTTTAACATGGCCTCTCTGAGCAGCACAGTGCAACACACCCAGACCATCCTAACACACACACACACACGATTAGTCTGACATTAACCCCCTCCATCTGATATGAACCGTAGAGCTCTTGCCTTATTTTCACAGTTGATTTTGGCTCCACAGGAAACCAGGAWCTGCAGGATCTTCAGGTGACCGAACCAGGAGGCCAAAAGCAGCGCATTCATGCCAAACTGTGGGCAAATATTTACAACTAGATGTTGTTACACAGAGGAGAAACTGATAGCAGCAGTGTGGAGAGCAGAATATCCAGTTTTTCTGCTGTATCCCAGAAATTGGACTGAGCAGTCAGTGTTGGTTTTTACTGCATCAGTTTTACACATTTCTATGTGACACGGTGTGTGTTTTCTATGRTAGCTTTTCAATAAATTAACTTGAGTACGTACAGCATCCTTCTCATCAACCTCTCGGTCGTGGACCAGTAGGAGACGCAGAGCCTGTTCATTCCCAGCTCCTGCTGCCCAGTGCAGTGCTTTCCGGCCTGTCTGTGCAGACACACACACTACATTACACCGACAAAACTCTCACACACACTGTGCTGTGAGTCTGTCAGACTGAGGCAGGCTGGGGGGTCTCCCTGGACCGTCAGTGACAGTTTGAACTCACTTTGTTTTTGGCTTTGAAGCTCACGCCCCTCTTCATCAGCTCCACGAGTCTCTCGGTGTCGTTCCTCTTCGCGGCATCGTGGAGCTCCTTCTCGGACCACAGCACTGGCAGCAAGAAAGGCAGTATGGTTAAAAAAAAAAACCGTGCTCCAGTTAAAATAATACATACAGCACCCAGTAATTAGGGGAACGCACGAGGAGTATGTGTTTCCCGTTCTACAGCCAGCCGRACACACGGACATCCTGTCCGAGCTTTAAGAGCAGCCGGCTAAAAGAAAAGAAAAACGGCTGATGTTACTCACAGATATCATCTTCCGACACCAGGTCGTCCTCCATGTTGACGGTGTTTCAGAGRCTCGCGCCTCTCACATTCCTCATGCTGGTGCTCGACTGTCTCCAGATGTACGGAGAGACTGACCCGCTGACTGACTCGACTCCACAAGACAGAGCCAGAGTCASTTCCGGTACTCCCCTTCAAAATAAAGTTAGCTAAAGCGTTCGTTTTCCTAATTTCCCTGTCAGTTCGTGTCCTAAAAAATATTAGTAGTGGCTCAGTTGAAAAAGCCTTTGCCTCTCAGCAAGAAGGTTGCTAGACCGAATCCCGGCCCGGGACCTTTCTGGGTAGAGTGTGCATGTTTTCTCTGTGCATGTGTGGGTTTTCTCCATGTACTGACCACAGACCACAAACATGACTGTTATTGGTAACTCTAAATTGTCCCAAGGAGCGAGTAGATTGTGAATGGTTGCGTCCAGTGTGTAGAAAATGGGTTATCTGCGGGATCAAAGTGGGCGTGTCACACAAGTGGGCGTGTCAAAAGCATAAACACTGTGGACTACGAGGCCGACATGAAGGTATCCTTCCTGCTGGATGTCTTTACAGTCTGACCCTGACCTCAACACTAAAGTTAACCAGGAGAAATGTGGCCGAAGTAGGGTTCTCCAGAAAAAGTGGTGCCGTACAGTAACGCCCCTTTTGCTCTTGTCTAATGAAGTGGTGCCGTACGGTATCGCCCCTTTTTTTGCTTGTCCAGTCAGGTGTATCCCTCTAACAAAGTCCGTCAAATCAGGTGTGTGGCTTTAGAATCGCCTTTCCTTGTGACACGCCCTCTCGTCCGCAGAGACCCCACTTGGGTGTGTACCCCCAACAGTCCTTATGTTCTACCTCGCCCCTCCCACAGTGGTGACCATCAATGAAAGGGGAAAAAAAAACTGGTTAAAATGGATGGATGGATAATAGTAGCAAGATGCAATTACACTTTTGGGGTTTTCTTTCAAAATAAAAGCTGGCTAAAATGTAAAATTTCCTGATTTTGTGAGCTGTCCTAAAAAAAAATTAGTATCAATCTTACTTCCGGTTCACTCCTTCAAAATAAAGTTGGCTAAAACACTCGTTTCCCTGATTTCCTCGTCAGTTTGTCCTAGTAGTATATAATAGTATATAT